ACGGAAAAAAAAAAAAAAAAAAAAAAAAAAAATCTTTGCAAGTTGGACAGAGGTGGAGGTGAAGGAATATTATTTAGCACTTTACTATTATAGTGATTAGATTTTGCAGCATGCATACATATACTTAGACACACACACACACATACAGACACACCCCTGTAATGATTCTTGTCCTTGTCAAAAAAGACACCAGATAGGGATTATTTTATTACCACTGAAACTAAACACAAATAAGTGTGTTTTGTTTTGTTTTGTTTTTTTAACCATCCTGCCAAAAATATTGATGCTACCTACATATTTCTAAATATTTAGCTTGGAGGTATAGCTTTCAAACTTTAGAGATCTTTTAATTTGAACATTTGATCTATTCCTCCTTTTTTTCTTGTTCAAATAAGAAGCATTTCTTTTCACAACTCTCAACCTGAGACCCTTTGTCATCCTAATTGCTTCAGTTTCTTTTGAAAATATCAAAGCGTCCTTTCTCTAATGATTCTCTTCTTTTTCCCAGGTCAGGTGCCTTAAGACCACATTTTGTACTTTTCTTACAACTACTTCATAGTGTAAGAAATATACTCTCAACCTGAGACCCTTTGTCATCCTAATTGCTTCAGTTTCTTTTGAAAATATCAAAGCTTCCTTTCTCTAATGATTCTCTTCTTTTTCCCAGGTCAGGTGCCTTAAGACCACATTTTGTACTTTTCTTACAACTACTTCATAGTGTAAGAAATACGGAAAAGAAACAAAAGTTGTTGATTTGCATGGATTCTCCATGGTTTACCACCTTTTCTACCTTCATTGATGAAATCTCCCATATTTTAGAGTTGAGAATGTATCTTTGATCTCCCATAATCCTGGCGTTTTAATGCATTTCATAATGCCTTTATTCTGTGTATCTCTAAGCCATGTCAGCAATGAAGTTCTGTTGGTAGCAGTATGTAGTCACTGTATGTCTAATACTAAATCAATAGTTGCGTTTATGTGTGTCTATTTTTACACAGATCTTTTTTTTTTTTAATCTCTGCTGTTTACCCAGACAGGCATGGTACATTGTGATACAGCAGTTGGGACACCTGATTATATATCACCGGAGGTCCTGAAATCACAAGGGGGTGATGGTTACTATGGGCGAGAATGTGATTGGTGGTCTGTAGGTGTTTTCCTTTTTGAGATGCTAGTGGGTAAGTAAATATTTTAACTTGTTCTTTTTTAAAAAGCATTCTCATAACACTTTAGTTCAACCAAGAATTTGAGAAAATAATGAAATTAATTGCCTGTGTCCTACGGAAGAATTACAATTTCTGGAAACTTTGAAGTATTAGTATCTGATATGATGGATTGTTAAATGGAAAATTAATATCGCACCTGATACTGGCACTTTGATTGAAGAGAATAAGTAGAATGTGAATGGAATTGAAAGTACTTTTCCATTAGACCTTTTTGAATTAAGAAATATTAGAACATATTAGAATATTAGCAAGTTTATAGCTTTAGTGGACCTCCATTAGAATTTCTTGATCAATCATATTTGTTGTAAATATTTTAAATATAAAACTGTTAATGTTTGTTCCCTTAGTAATAGAGAACTAAAAATACTCTTTTTGCTATATGAATGATTTTGTAAAGTGTATTCCTTCTGTTAACTACTTGTATATATTTGGTTTGTAATTCCAGTGAAATGAATCATAAGTATAGTTATTGACCATTTGATTATGAAGATAAATATATTTTATAATATTTCAGTTTCAGAAAACTCAGAGGTAAATTTAATAACTTCTTTTACTTTATCCAAATCAAAATTTGAAAGGCTGAGGTATTTCAGAACTTCTCCTTACATCATAGATTTAATTCCTAAGTTTCACATTTCTAAGTAATAGGGTCATAAAAATATCTTCTCGCTAGAAGCCGGTGACTTAATCACCTGACTTGGGGATGAAGGGAGAAAATGTAGCTAAATCTACTTTCCAAGGCAAGTGTGATAAGGCTAATAGCTTTGTATGTAATGACTTTACAGTTGAAAATATATTTTTGGAGTTAGGGAATTTATTTTCTGGAAGATGACCCTAAAAGAGATTGATAGTGTAAAATATGTATGATAATAAATAGAGTATGGTTATTGCTAAAATACCAGAAATTTATTGAGTCATACATTTTATGAAAAGAATATTAGAAAATTTTGGTAAATTCCAAATTTAAATAATAATTACTATGGAACTTTTTTGTGGTGTAAATTCCTTTTCTTGATGACCACACTTGTGTCATTGATCTCGTTATGCTTAGTCTCATGTCATAGTATGACCTACTTTGTTTTGAGTCTTTGTCTTTGTAGTGAATCTTTTTGTACATACCATGTTGTCCCAGGTAGTTGTCTATTCTTCTAGCTCTGGCCTAATTTGATGATGCATTAGGTTGTGTCTTATAATCTTTTGAAAATAGAATATATTCTCTTATTTGCTTAGGCTTTCTTTCTAGGGATTTAGAAAATAAGGTACTTTGTTGCTAATAATTTGGCCCATTTGAAGAGGCCATGATTCTCAGTATTCTGAGCCTACTGTGATGCTTGCTCAGGTTGGTTGGCACTGGACTTCATTTAAAGGATTCTGTTGTGGTTAAAAATGGCACCCATCCACCTCACTTTGGAAACAAACAAAAAATAGCCACTTGAATACCCACTTTGAAGTTTTGGATTGGCTGATTTGGGGAAGTCTGGTTTTCACTAAAGTTCCTTGTATCATAGGCTACTGGGAGGGCCAAAATGGTGCCTTCAGCTTTTCCTGTCTTCACACTTGTTTTAGTGCCTCTTTATCACAGTCATTAGTCAGCAGAAACACTGCATTGGGAGACCACTTTTGCCCTTTTTCAACTCTAGCTATTTGTTGTCTTAGGCAAGTCGCATGCTGTCTGTCTGGGCCTGGTTTCCTCCTATGTAAAATAATAGAGCTGGTCTAACTCTTACAGCAGCACTGTCCCATCTATCATGATGGAAATGATTTATATCTGCATTGTCCAGAGTGGTAGCCACTGGCCACATCAAGCACTTAAAATGTGGCTAGTGTAACTAGGGAACTGCATTTTTCCTTTTATTTAATTTCAGTTTAAATTGCCACATATGGCTAGTGGCTACATATTGTATAACATAGCTCTAGAGAGTAATCTCAGAATGCTGATCCAGCTCAAGCATTAAAGGACTCTTGCTGATCTGACCCCATTTAGGAATCTTGAACTATTCAGTAAATTGTTTCCTTTGTTATAGTTAAAAATAAAATTCTAGGGTTGGCATTGATTTTATTTTGCTTTTATAAGGGTTGATACGTCATTGGTGTGGTTAAAATTTAAATATATTCTTTATATATGTCTGTTTTGACTGGGACTCCTGGTCCATCGACCGTTTGTTCTTCCAGACATGTGACAAATTTAAACCTAACGTATTTAAATATTAGATGAAGAGTGTTTAATTTGCAGTCTCTATTATACTCAGTGTTTTCTTTCTTGGAATTTTAGGGGATACTCCATTTTATGCGGATTCACTTGTAGGAACATATAGCAAAATTATGGATCATAAAAATTCACTATGTTTCCCTGAAGATGCAGAAATTTCTAAACATGCAAAGAATCTCATCTGTGCCTTCTTAACAGATAGGTAATGTACATTGAATTTCTTTGTATAAAAACCATTTTACATTTAAATTTGTAGAAATGAAAGCATACCTAACTTGTTTGCATATGAAATCAGTCTCTTTCTCTCATTATCCAAGTTGCATTTAATCCTAGGTTAGCCTTTTCCTACTGCTAAGCCTGGTGTTGGGTTACCCTTTTCATTTTGGCTGTGTAGCCCAACTGTAATCTAACTCTAACCTTAACCTTTATGTCTAGAAAGAAGAAAACAGAACTTGGTAAAATAATGCTTGAAAGAAATAAAACTTTTGTATTATTCACACTTACCCTTCTAAGGTATTATTAATCCATATTACACTTGATGGTACAGCAGAAAACAGAACTTGGTAAAATAATGCTTGAAAGAAATAAAACTTTTGTATTATTCACACTAACCCTTCTAAGGTATTATTAATCCATATTACACTTGATGGTACAACTTTTCAGAAGAAAGCATTTTGTAGGTAAATACTCAACAGGTTGTAATCTTAAAAACTATTTGCGTTTGACTTGGGCGTGCCTCCTTCTCAACCCTTTTTAATTTGCATTTGAATGAGTCTGTCCTGGAAATTCTATATTTTTAAAAACAAAATAGATGAATAAAGGTGTGAAAACCTGCTTGAATACAGTTCTTTTCTGAAGTCCTATTTCATGTTTGTGATGTGAGTCATCCTGTCAAAGGATCAACACGTACAAGAGGGTGCTTGCACCTTATTCCAAACTTTTACTCCTTAGCTTTTTGATCTTGGGGAAATTATTTTACTTATTTTGGGAAATAATTTTACTCATCCATAAAACAATGGGCTCAGATGAAATAACTAAGGACATTTCTTGTTCTAGTATGCTACGATTCCTCAGTACGTCTTATTGTTTTTTAGCTAGTTGCTGTTAGAAGCAATATTGCAGCAGCTATCCTCATACATTAGTCTTTGTGTACTTTTTGTAGGTTGAAAATCTTAAAGGTAGAATTCTGAGATACACATTTTAAAATTGAGTGATGTTGCAAAACTGACTCGCGGAGAAGTTGTATCAGTGTATATTTCCATTAACAACTGTTTCCTCTCGTCAGATTGATTATTATTAAAAAGCTTTCTTTTTAATAATAAGAAGGCAAGAAAAGTTATTTTATCTTTCCTTATGAGAGAGGATAATCATTTTCATGTGTTTATCAATCATTTGTCGAATGAAACTTTAAAATTTGTTAATTACATGATTAACAAACAATCAATACCAGTAAACTCAAAACATAGCCTATAATGTTTGATTTGGGGAATAAATGGCGTTGGTGGGGATGACCATAAAATGTGCTGAATGATAAATTATA